ATATAGTCCCTGCCCTGAGATAATACCTCTTACGTATCTCCCAAAAAAAAGAGAGAGAGAGAGAGATTTGCAACTTACCCGGGATTGTGTCTTGTCTCCACTCCATGGCCAGAGATAGAAATGAAACAATCTGTCCTTGGGGACTATTTTCAGTAATGGCTCCAGAGTAAGCGCCTGGTCTGGGCGGGTGGAGCTAGGCCCGGTATGTCACGTATGTCCTTGTTGTTTGGGTTCACAATCTATATCCAATTGTAAAGAAGAACAATCAGTATGATGCGAAAACAGAGACAGCAATAACTCTTAGATAAATAAGAAACTATCATACTTTAGCTTACAGGAAGAAACTTTGTTTGTTCCATGATCTGAATATTTGGAAAAACGGTATTATGGTTATCGATTTAGTGGGTTCGTCTATAAGAAGCAGTTGAGGACTACTTATGGTTTTCAGGAAGATCGGTCCAATTCTAACTCTTGAATTCTATGGATAAGACTAATTTAGACGGAACTGAAAATAATGATCTACAGAAAAATTTGAAAAGGCCCGAATGAGCATCCAAGTGTATATACACAGTTCGAGAAGCAACGGAGATACCTTGACAATGATGATTGCTATGACACCAATGACAATAAGTACAAGTAATGCCATGATACATTTGTCAGTCGCAACCTGAATGAGGAAGGAGGAAAAGTAAGTTGAGAAAATAGGATTGTGCATAGAGGAATGGTATAGAGATGAAAGCGGAGATCTAGAGATTGACCTGCCTACCAATTTCCTTGACCAGCTTCGATGCCTTCTTGAGCGAGAAATGAATAGAATCGAGTTCATTGACAACTCTATTCATTTGCTCAGTCTGAACATCAAAAAGTAATACATCTCTTACTCTTCACATTTAGCAACAACTTTGGACCAATGAATGTCGCAAGATGAACAATTGAAATTCAGGTGGAGGCACAATTATCTAATTTCGATGTAATGTGACTTAACTACGAACCTGAGCCTTGAGAGCTGCTGCTGTATCTGTTCCCACATTTACAGTGTCTTGAACAATCTATTATCAGAGATACAGGAGATGTGGTCAGCGTCTGCTATTTCTTAAGCATGAGAAATGGACAAAAATGAGTCAGATGAAACACAGTCGAGTACAGGTGGCTGTCTGAAAGTTGGATGAGCATTTGGGGAGGCAAAGAGATCGAGACTAACAAAAACTAGCACAGAAGAGCAGAATCATGACTAGATACTGACCTTTTTACCCCTCTCAATGGCTTGATCTGTCTCATCCATCATTCTGTTACCTTTGTCCATTAGCTCTTGATTGGTCATATCTGGTAATCATTTAACTTCGAGTAAATATATCTAGTTGTATTCCGATATGACAAAAGGACCATATTCCAATAACCAAAAGAGCAATGTACATGTATTTTCTTGGTTAGCAAGTTCCTTTAAAGATACTCGTGCACGCATGGCTATCCATTTCAGATTACTTGGGGATCATGGATGGAACTAGATAGAGACAAAATCTAAAGCCGTACTTGAAGCTAGTAAGACATTCTCTTCCATATTCTCTTCTGCAGGTCCATCAAAAAGTTCCACTCGCTTGTTATCATTTGCTAGGTTGGAAGAGAATCTGTATAACCATCAGGGAAATCATCAATCAGAATAAACATAATGCGTCAAACTCCATCAGCCATACAATGTTGAAACGGTACAAGGCAGCTCCGACTCTATTTCTGATATAGACATTACTTCCAACATATAAAAAGGATAAGTAAGAGCAGGCAGGAACTGCAAAGAAGTAACTCGGGAAATGGAGGGTGATACAGCAAATTAAGACCCACACGCAAATTCGGGCAATCACAAATTTCTAAGTGTCTCACTTACCTTTTTTTAAGAGCAACATATGAGTTCAGTTCCTTAACCTGCATAAACACGAAATCTTCTGATATTAGAGAACTTCAAAACGCTGAACCAAAGGAGCAATAAAAAAATTATGGTAATGGATGCCAAGCCTACCATGGATTGTCTTCTATCGTTCAGCATCCGGTTAGTGTTGGCATCATTTCTGCTTTCCATGTCCTTAACTTCCCTATCGAAATCTTTGATAAGCCTACAAATAAAAGCATGATCATCATCATCATCATCATCAACCGTGATGACAAAGGTAAATGTAAGACCACCTGCGATAAGAATGAAATCTGGGTATGCCTAAAGGAATGCTGGAGAAGAAATTACCTCTTACAATCTCGCATCTTGTCCGTGAGCTCTTCCAGCTGCCTACTCTGCCTACTGGCATCTTTAATCTTCTCCAGCTTCTGGAACCCATTTCTAGGAAGCAACAAAAAAACACACAATATGAAAATCTATTGTCCGGAACAACATGAAGTTCTATGTCGGAATTCGAAAATGGGAATCCAAGGTTACAAATGGAAAATGCAACTAAGACGCAGAGATTCTCACGATAAGGCACGGAAAATATCATTGATCTGTCCCTCGATCTCAGCCAGCTCTTCGCTGACCGCCGATATTGGATCCATCTCTTCGAGCAATGCACTTAGAAACTGACAATCTTCTCTACCATAATACGACAACAATGTCTTTTCAATTCCACGAAACACGAGCGTCGAAACAAAAGCAACGCCGAGCACGAATCGACTCGCTGATAATGGCAGATTCAAAAATTATCGACCAGATCCGTGAGGATCCGAGGCGCCAAAATGTGAAAGCTCCGGATCGAATCTTGTACCCAAACCAAAAGACCGGATCCCGGATCCAAAATTACTGAAAAAACGAGCCGCGTAAATTGAAATCCAAAACCCGCAGAAAATTTCCAGATCTGCGAACAATGTAGCTGGCAAAAATCGATCAGGAGAACAGAAAAACAGGTCAAAATCTCAGGCACCCCAAAGAAAAAAACAGTGGAGGTCTTTGAACGTGCAGGATTTTTTATTTTCTCTCAGACATTTTCGGTCTCTTTTTTTTCCTTGTTGGGTTTTTCTCTCTCCTCCAAAACTCACCCCCTTGTTTTGTGGAGAGAGAGAGAGAAGACCTTATTAAAATATGATTAGTTGTATAATCTGGTACACGTCCGTGGGCTCCATCTCCCCCGCCGTTCCGAAAAGATTCAATAATGGGCCTGAAGTGTGTGGGCCTAAACGGGCCCAATTAAAAAGCTAATGGGCTAATCTCTAATAAAGATCCGAATCCGGGTCCAGACCCGGATCCCTTAGGTTACGAATGGTGTCCTTATAAAATCGAAAACTGAGGTTTTTCGCCATAGTTGCTCGCGACTCAGCTGTCTCGCTTCAGGATTCGACCGCCGCCGGAAATCAGTCAGGCCACCAATAACAATGGTACGATTCTCTGAAAACTCTCATGTTGATGCTGCAGAAGTTTGTTCATATAGAATTAGGGATTTGCTTTGAGTTTGATTCCTCGATTTGGTGGAAGAGATTCATATTTAATCGAAGTGTTGGAGAAATATTTTCTCCGAGCTTTCGTCTCCGCGTAGTGTATCTAAATCAGAATCAGCTTATGTACTCTCGTTGCTTGCCGGAAAAATTTTCTCGAATTTTTTTTTCTCTGCAACTTTGATAGTATCAAGGGCTTGTTTTGTGAGTATCAGGACCTTGTTCGACATCAATCTTCTCTTTTTTATGCCTTTATTTACGCAATCTTCCTTCTTTTGCTTTCAGACAAAGAGGACGAAGAAGGCTGGAATTGTCGGCAAATATGGTGAGTGCTCATGCATATGTTAATGGGTTTATGAAATACGAGAACTTGATGTGATGTGAATATTATGATCCTTTACTCCCCCTTCCATTTTATGTTGGAGTGGGATCATTTGTGCAGTTTGCTTAAGGCAAAAAGTCTGGTTGGATACTTCATAGAGTTTGTATTGTAGATTAGACATGCCTGTGAGAAATGAATTAACCAGAGATACCCTTTTTGCAGTGGAGATCTTTCTTTGTTATTGTCACCTGTTTATATGTATCATGTTCTCTGGTTGTAAACATGTTGATGCATTGTCTGTCAAAGGTACCCGATATGGTGCGAGTCTTAGGAAGCAAATCAAGAAGATGGAAGTGAGCCAACACAGCAAGTACTTCTGCGAGTTCTGTGGGAAGGTGATCCTGTTGTCTCTTCATTTTAAATGGTGGTTCTAATGAAACTACAAGCTCTTGATGTAACACGTTGTTTTTGATTCAGTATTCTGTGAAGAGGAAGGCTGTTGGAATTTGGGGCTGTAAGGATTGCGGGAAGGTCAAGGCTGGCGGTGCTTACACTATGAAGTAAGAAATCTTTTTATGGTCTTTGAAATGGGTTTTATGTTTCATGTGTTGCCCATTACTAAGTTTGGAATGTGGTTGGAATTTGGCAGTACGGCAAGTGCTGTGACAGTGAGGAGTACCATCAGGAGGCTGAGAGAGCAGACTGAGAGCTAAGATGGAACTGTCTATTAAGAGAAAGGAAGCTTCTTACCACCTTATTTGGAACCTCTGTTTACACAGACCAGATTTCAATCTTCCCTTTTTGATAATTTGATGTTCCTGTCGTTTTTTTTTTTTGGGTTATGCTACATTTGTGCGGACCTGTGCCTTGGTAACAGTAAGCAAGAATGGGTTTTTGTCGTCGAATATTTTCCTCCAACACAACATAGCATTTGCCTTGAGGAGAGGTAAGGTGAATTGGGAGTTGAACATCACGTTTTATGTCGACAGTATAATCAATCAATACGATGTTTTTATCATGCAACAGAGAGAGATTATAAAAACTGCAATAGCACACACGGGACAACTATTTATGCGGAAAAAAAAACATATTAGATTCACGTGTTTCTGAGTTGGCAGATTTTCAGCCAACTCAGGTTGGATAAAAGTAAGCAGCGAAAGACCTGCGTGTGGCTTGCTCCATCGCCCAGATTCAGTCACCTCTTTTATTTACTTCTTTTCCCCCGTCTGAACGTTGGTTCCAAGAGAAGAAGCCCCACCCACCCTTCTCAAAACTACAAACAAAGCTATTGAGGAATTCAGAAGAGGTCAGTAGAACCGTCGTGAAATGTCTGCGTTTGGACAGCTTTAACGGCGGCTACTCTTGCGGCGTTTGCAGCTCTGTTTGCGGCCATCACTGCTCTGTTCACTCTCTCCTCCACTTTCCCAACTTCTTCCGCTTTCTCCCCTGCTTTCCTTGCTTTCTGTATATATATATAGACATTGCTAAATCACACACTCATCCCATTGTAGAGTTTGTTTCTTGTATATTGTAATATTCTCACTCAACTCAGCTCCATAATTTCTAAACTGAGAGACCTACAAAATACTCGCGCCTGGTCACTGTAAAATATCAAAACACGGAAAACTCCACATTTTCACATATACTATGCTACCAGATAACAACAATCCTTCAGCCAGTTTCAATACTTCAAATGTGGACGGTAAAATTTCTGTAAAACAACACTTTCCCTGCTGAAATGGAGGTGAAAACGCGAGTGTCATTTTCATCTTCTTCCTTTGTTAATTGTTACCAACTACAAGAAGACAAACAAACAGAAGAAGTGAATATATAATAAGTGCTACAAAGGCTTGCAAACCAATTACCAGGGTGCATTTAACATCCAGATCGAACTACAAGTAGACTGCAATATTCGCAGAATAATTAAAGAGGTGCGCCCACTGATTGCTCACTTTTGCTCATCTTACATGCGAATCCTACATAAGGGGAAAACCCTAGAAGATAAGCAGGCTTAGTAACAACCACGTGATGAAGGCTTGATTATTACCTTATCAACATTACCTTCATCGGGTACTCAATGATATATTGCACCCCAAAAGCACCACAAAAATTTGTCTTAGCATTTAATCTCTTTGCTTTTCCATTAGCCACGGCAGCAATATTACTGCCAGCATTTGAACGACCACAAGGGCGTAATCTACTCATTCTTATCCTAGGTACATAATTTATAGACACCACACTAGCTCTAGGATCTCGCAGAACAAGGATAATGCTACTGGTTTACCTGGGCAGCATCGAGAACCTTGGTGTGACTTATGTAGAAAGACGATCCAGGACGGGTAGTTTGCTCGCTGGGACAGCTGAGAACGCCGTTTTCCCAGTGGCCAGCCTGCATCTCGCCATTCCTGAATGTATACATGCCAAGCCCTTGCCTTCTTCCCTCATGCCAGGCTCCTTCATACCGATGCCCATTTCCAAATTGATAAACCCCAAAACCATGCATCTTGTCAGCAAAATACTCCCCAGCATATGTATCACCATTTCTGAAACAAAGACAGACCTCCTAGTCAGACAGGTATACAAAGATATTAAGTATTGAAAGACAACCTAAAGCTCCGTCAAAACTAAGATTCAAGATGGAAAGACAAAACTCTTTCTGAAGCCAGTGTTTGATGTTATTTTCTAAGTTTAATGCCAATGACAGTGACAGAAAATCTTGAGCGTTGATGTCCAAAGGGAAAGACACCTAACAACCCATCAAAACTAAGAAACTCTACACAGAAAGCCAAGTACTTCTGGAAAACCACATGCTAAATCCCACTCCATAGCTAATAAGCCATGTATGGACCACCATAATTCAAAGCACCACTAAATTCTGATGGGGAAATCAAGATTAAAAGATACCGAACATCAACAGCAGGGGCCTTAATACACCATTATAATTCATAGCTCGGAAATTTAGATGACTTCAGAGTAAGACAATGAAGACTGTCACTTTGGCTTGATCAACAATGAAAATACAAGAATAACTGCACAAGTTCAAGATAGATGATTTCACCTGAAATGGTAATGACCAAGGCCATGCTTGACACCCCACTTGAACTCTCCAACATATCGACTACCGTCCTCAGAGGTATATACACCACAACCATGGCACTGCCCGTTAGACCACTCACCAGCATACACATCCCCAGTATAGAATCTGTAGACTCCAATCCCATGTCTCATTCCCTGCCTATACTGACCACGAAACCGGCTTCCTTTAGCCCATGTTTCTACACCATAACCATCATACTTCCCATCAACCCAATCCCCTTCGTATTTACCTTTCATGGAATAGTAATAAACCCCACTTCCTGAACATTTTCCTCTATGAAACTCTCCCTCGTATACATCACCACTGCTGTACTTTTGAACCCAAGAGCCAGAGCTCGTCTTTTTCTCTGTCGCGGGCTTCGAACCAATTGACCAAACAACCTGTTTCGCGTTAGACTTCGAAGAAAAGGAGGAGCCGGTAGGTCTAAACTTGAGGGGTGGCAAACGAGCAAGAAACAAGCGGATTGACGGTAGGTGAGTAAGGGCGAGATTGAGAAACACGACAAGGATAAAAGACACAGCAAAGACGACGATTAAGAAGAGCAGAAAGAGGCGAACGTTGATCAACAGGAAGAATATATACAGAGGAGGAACGGAGAGAAGAAGCAGGAAACGAAGGTGGAAACATATCAGACGGGCGTGAAGGATATGGCGGAGCAGTTTCCGTAAAAACTGACTACTCGCGGATGGAATCAGGATCGACAACCGAGATGAAGACAGAAACCTCAAAAGACGCGATGGACAATACGAAGAAATCGATCCTAGGCTTGCGCGGAAACTTCCTCGCCGGGAACGGTCAACGTCGCCGGCGAAACCAAACGGATGAGACGGTTGAGCCACCGCAGTCCTCTTGTGCGGTGTAGAGACTGGGTTTTGAGGCGATGAATCAGGGATTTCAACCGTCAGATGGCCCAGAAGTTGCGCAGAGTAACCAGAGCCTGCATCAATGGCGGTTCGTCGAGGGGACTGGTCTGGAATCTGACGTTGCGACGCTTGAGGAGGACGGTGATGGTGATGATGATAAGTCGGGTTGGGGTGAGGGTTCGGATTCGAATCGGAA